GCCCGCTGGTGTCCCGGGCCCCGTCGGGGCGGGGGGAGGAGGGCGAAGCGCTGCGACCCGACCGGCCCGGGACATTAGCGGGCCCCGCCCAGATCCGCCGAGTCGCTCCCCTGCCAGCGAGGTGGCCTCGAGTGACAGCGGCGAGCGCCATGCACTCCCGGGACTCCGGGTGCAGAACCCGGGGTTGCTCCTAATTCACAGACCTCTAGTGTCGCTTAAAGGATCCGGGCACTGCGCTGGGCCGAAGCCGGAGGGTCTTGCAGCTGGATGCCGCGCCGCTCTCTCCGCGGGGTCCGCGGCCCGAACGCGGGTGTAGACTCGGGTTTTTCGGGGCGGAAAAGTCCGCCGCGGAGTTGAACGGAGCGGGGCGTGTGCCCGTGTGGCCGGCGGAGCCTTTTTACCTTTCCAGTGCAAATCCTGCCGGTTCTGGCTCTAGAATAAATCGTGGGAACACGGGGACACGGTATCGTGCCATTGTTCCGCATCACGCCAAAATCGGCGCGAGTTGGGGTTTTAACATTACTGGAGAAAGACGCTACATACATCTTACCCTGCTGTGTGATTGACATCCTTTGTGAGAAGAATCATGTGTATTTTCATAAGGCAAGAAATTATCCTAACAAAGAAACCTTGTTTAAGTGTAGGAGTCAGAATTCGGTATCCTTGAGTTCCCAGCAGGTCCTCCTATTATTCTTTTAAGAACTATCTACTTTCTGAAAATATTTTCCAGAAGATTTCATTTGTCTAGGTGTTAGATACAGATCAATTTACAAGAAAATTCCAATAAATCTTTACAGACATTGCTTTTTTTTATTGAAGAACTTTTATGGGTTTTTTGTTTTGTTTTGTTTCTCACTTTTTACTCAGAGAACTAAAGTTCAGTGTTTCAGCCTGGACATTCTGATGGTGGGAGGTACAACTATATACAAAAGAGAAGAACAAAACACAGTAATTGAAGCAATAAGAGGCTTCACACAGTCCATACTGCATTTCTTTTCAAAGAATGTTTCATGTTAAAATGCTTTTTCTTTGTTATTTTTCATGATTTCTACAGTAGTTTGAGATGAAGTAAGGTTCACCTGTCATTGCTTTTATTATGTTTAAAATGTCCGTTGCATAAAATTGTACAGCATTCATAATAACACTTGTTGAAAAGCAGAAGATTAAGCACATTTCCATTTCGATTGTAGGTTTGCTTATTGTGTTTTTCAGAGAAAAGGAAGGGAAGAGGTATGTTTAAGAAAAGAAATCATTTGTGCCTTTTTTTTTTTCTTTTTCATTTTAAAGTAGTTCCTCTACCTTAGATTGTCAGCTTTAAAACAGAAGATTTAAATCTCTTTGGACAAGATTCTCCTAATGTTCAAACTATCCCCTGGCTACAAGGAGGTGCATTTAAGAAAACTGCCTAATATGTCCACATCCCCCATCTGCAACATCCATTACTTAGTTGGGAGAAGAAATCATTCAGTCATTGGAACAAGGAGGATTCACAGATGCTCATTTTGTGTAGAGTACTGTGTTAAATTTTCTTGCAGGTGTGGCTGATGGTTGGGAGAGCAGGAGAAAGTTGACTACAGTCACACCCCCAATACAATGAATAAATGAATACTGAATGAATGAATGCTAAGAGAGAAAAAAAAATTTAAAGATTATTTACAATCTATCAATAGCTACGTAAATATCCATGATACTCAGTCCCAGTGCAGGTGTCCCTGCTGTAGTGAAAGAACACATCACTGGCAGTCAGAAGAATGTCACTCATTCATTTATTCATCATCCATTTTAAGGCCTTTTGGATCTCAGTCATTTGCTTTTACTCACAGTGTGACCTTGAATTAATCTCTCATAGGATATTCCTTGCATAGTACCTTATATTAGTCTTTATGCCATCAGAGCAGAGCAGGACACCTAGAATATTATATGTTCAATATATCCATGTTGAATGGATAAAGGAAGGAAAAGCAATTCTTCTTAACTCTCCCCTAATGAAAGGGGCCTGCTTTTTGAAATTGTATACAAATTATCTACTTTATTATAACACCCCAATATTTTAGGGAATGAAATAAATGTTCTCAGTTCTTCTTTGGTGTCCAATGAATGCTCAGGATGGCATTTTTTCATTTACTTACCAAGAAGATGTGGTTTTTATAATTTAATGCATTCAGTATTTCATTTGCATATGTTTAAGATTGAAAAATTTTAGTAACAAACCATGTAATCTGACATACTTCTTTTTCATTTGAATACAAATATATGTATTAATTTTTTTTTTTTGAGTTGGAGTCTCACTCTCTCACCCAGACTGGAGTGCAGTGGCACGCTCCCGGCCACCACAGCCTCGACCTGCTGGGCTCCGGCGATCCTTCTGCCTCAGCCTTCCAAATAGCTGGAACTACAGGCATGCGCTACCACGCCCGGCTAATTATTTTTATTTATTATAGAGATGAGGTCTTGCCAAGTTGCCCACGTGGATCTCGAACCCGCAGGCTCAGGCAATCCACTCACCTCAGCCTCCCAAAGCGGGGGATTACAGGCTGAGCCATCAAGCCCAGCTGGTAAATATTTTGAAATTTTAGTTTCTTGTTGCTTATATGATAGCCTTTATCAATTAAGATATCCAGTTAAAATATTTAAATTGCTAAACTATCATTATTGCCTATTTAGGTATCCTTTTTTTCCATTTTGGGACTATTTAAGACTAATTTCAATGTCTCCCTATGTATGTATATGTAAACATACATATACACATATGTGTGTATACAAAACATGTAGTCATATTCTATCTTGAACTTGCTGACATTTCCAGGATGATTTATTTCTGTTCTTTTAAAGTTGGGGAAGTTAAACTACTTTGATAACATCAATAATAAAGTAATAAATAATAACTGAGCATCCACTATGTGTAATATACTCTATTAAGCATCATTGCTACCATAAAAATAATTAAGACTTTCATCTATATTAGCACCTAATAAAGTCTGACGACATACATTGGAGAAAAATCTGAATTCTAGACTCAAAACTATGTGGTGTTGTTTTTTTTGCCACAGATTGTGCTGGATTTCCTTTTTCTTCAAAAAGTTTTGGACAGTGGTTTTATTCTTAATAAGTTACATGTCCCAAGAAAGCATGCAGCCTTTTTGAAGGGTCTGCCCAATTTGTCTCTTGTCCTTGCCTTTGTAGTAGAAAAAAAGCAATCAATAATAACTGATCTACCACAAAGTTAGAAGAAAAGAATTTAATCAAGAAAGTGAGTCAAAAGAAGAACGACTAAGCAGGATCACAGTTGCAAATACCCTGTACATATTATAAGTGTAAATAGGATAATGAACAAGCTAGATCAAGCTGGGGGGGTCATCGAGATCAGGAAATTAGGCAGAAACAACCAGTCAAAGCTGCTTCAATTTAGAAGCTCACTGACCTATCCAGGATAGTTGCTGGGAGGCTACTGACTGGTAATATGATGAATAATTGATTCAGTGGGCCATGTGAGTCACGTGTGTTCCCCTTATTCTTTTTCAGTTGAGGCAATATCAATGTAAATTTTTGGTTAGGGTCTAAGAACAGGTAAGTATGATCCTGAGCTTTTGAATTAATTTATCTTTAAAGGAATGTAACTAGCTCTCAGAAAGTAATTCAACATGCATAGAATCACTTGTAGAAGTTTTGAAAAACTTTCAACTTTTCTCAGCACAGTGATGGCTTTATCGTCATGTTTGAAACTTACTGTATATAAAACTGAAGTTAAACTTAGTTATAATGAATGTTTGTACACAATATGGTTTCCTATTTAGAAATTCATTGGACCGGGACCTGTGTCTCATAAATTAAGGATAACAGTGAAGCCGGGCTCGGTGGCTCAGCCTGTAACCCTGCGCCTTTGGGAGGCTGAGGTGAGTGGATTGCCTGAGCCCGCGGGTTCAAGACCCGCCTGGGCAGCGAGACCTCATCTCTACAATAAATCAAAAAATCAGCCGGGCGTGGTAGTGCATGCCTGTAATTCCGGCTACTTGGAAGGCTGAGGCGGAAGGATCGCCGGAGCCCAGTAGTTCGAGGCTGCGGTGACCGGGAGCGGGCACTGCACTCCAGTCTGGGTGACAGAGTGAGACTCCAACTCAAAAAAAAACAAAAACAACAACAAAAAACCCCCAAAAAAACCAAAAAAAGGATAACAGTGTTCACTATTAATTTAAATATGCATATATTTTAAGTACAATTATTCAATTATAGATCTAGAAAAAAATGGATACTGAAATGCAACAAAATGCTATTTTATGTACATATATATCAGGATCTCTATAATAATATATACTAGATTAATTATCTATTACTGTCTTGAGTTTTCTGTAGGAAATTCTTGTTTAAAAAATGAAAGTGCATTTTTTTTTTAAGGAAAGGAGGGAAATTGCTTCATCAGAAAGTACCATCAAATCTAATGAGTGATACCACTGTTATATGACATTAATTTCTTTTGTGTGTGTGTGTGTCAGAGTCTCACTCTGTCACCCAGGCTGGAGTGCAGTAGCACGCTCATGGCTACCCCAGCATCAACTGGCTGGACTTAGGCTATCCTTCTGCCTCAGCCTTCCAAGTAACTGGAACTACAGGCATACGCTGCCAACACCTGGCTAATTTTTTGATATATTGTAGAGATGAGGTCTCACCAAGTTGCCCAGGCTGATCTTGAACCCCTGCGTTCAAGCAATCCTCAAGTTGGCCTCCTAAAGTTTTGGAATTACAGGACATTAATTTCATTTGAAATGAAAACCTTATTATAGAGAGTAGCATCACTTCTACTTTTACCTCTAAGGTATAGTGTTTTTCTTAAACAATATGAATTCATTGACTCTTTTTGAAACTGAAATCTGTGCACAATTGTTACATTAAAAAATAAACAGACAAATTTTATTTTTTAAAAACCAGAAAGCACTGTTGGTCAATCAGGAGTTGTCCTAATCCACGATAATTTGGCACATCTCAAAGGACTGAGGGTTCATTATGAAAAGATTTTATCTTTCAGCATTGTGTCCACATAGTTAACAGTACAGCTTGATAAACATTTGTTGAGTACCTACTATATACATTTAGGTCCTGAAATAGTGTTTCTACACTTGAGCTTAAATTAGAATGCTGTATGAACTAGATAATATTTAGGTTATCAGATTTTTTTTTGTATGGAGTTTTTGATCTCTCATAAATACTTATTTAACACCTGCAGTGGTGTTACTATGCCATGGATTTTGATGGATACTACAGTGAGTAAGAGAGAGTTTCTGCTTTTCCATTGCCCATCAATAAGTAGACTGGTAAGCAGTGAAAGCAGATTGTGGCACATAGCATCAGACAGTTGTAAGCAGAGCATTATGGGAATTCTGAAGAGGTGATTGCATCCAGTTGAGTTGACCAGGGAATACTTTAGGACAGGTAACTTTTAGGCTGGCCTTGAATCAGGCAGAAGTGAAAGGAATTTTTTAGGTGAGATTGTGTGACTACATCATGTACCAGATATCTTGACTAGAGAGTATATTAATGAGCTGTTGTGAAGTAAGTATCTTAACTTTCTTATCTACATTTTCCTTGTCTTTTCCTTATGTTATTTACTACAGAAATTTAAAAAACAAGGTCTGCTACTTTAACATTAGTTAATACAGCATAGAAGTGATGATAGAATTAAACTTATTGTAATTGTTATTAGCTGATATTTGCACTGCACTTGGAATCAATTAAAGACATCATAAACTTACTTTGGAGGTTAATAAGGTAATGGGAGCGAATTGTAACATTCAGTTTCCCTCTGAATAGATTAATTTAAAGTAGTCACATGGTTTTTCTTTTCCATGTTGTTAACGAATGTCTTTTTATTCCAGGCAGGACTGTAATATGGATTTAGAGCTCAAGGAGTATTATAATAAGACACTTGCTGCAGAGAATGATTCTGCTGCCACTCGGAATTCTGATTTCCCAGTCTGGGATGATTATAAAAGCAGTGTCGATGACTTGCAGTATTTTCTGATTGGGCTCTATACATTTGTGAGTCTTCTTGGCTTTATGGGGAACCTACTTATTTTAATGGCTCTCATGAAAAAGCGTAATCAGAAGACTACAGTAAACTTCCTCATAGGAAATCTGGCCTTTTCGGATATCTTGGTTGTGCTGTTTTGCTCACCTTTTACTCTGACCTCTGTCTTGCTGGACCAGTGGATGTTTGGCAAAGTCATGTGCCACATCATGCCTTTCCTCCAATGTGTGTCGGTTTTGGTATCAACTTTAATTTTAATATCAATTGCCATTGTCAGATATCATATGATCAAACACCCTATATCTAATAATTTGACAGCAAACCATGGCTATTTTCTGATAGCTACTGTTTGGACACTAGGTTTTGCGATTTGTTCTCCTCTTCCAGTATTCCACAGTCTTGTGGAACTTCAGGAAACTTTTGGCTCTGCGTTGCTAAGCAGCAAGTATTTGTGTGTTGAATCATGGCCTTCTGATTCGTACAGAATTGCTTTCACTATCTCTCTCTTGCTAGTTCAATATATTCTACCGTTAGTTTGTCTAACTGTAAGTCATACCAGTGTCTGCAGAAGTGTAAGCTGTGGATTGTCCAACAAAGAAAACAGACTTGAAGAAAATGAGATGATCAACCTCACTCTTCATCCATCCAAAAAGAATGGGCCTCAGGTAAAACAGTCCAGCACTCAAAAATGGAGTTATTCATTCATCAGAAAACACAGAAGAAGATACAGCAAGAAGTCAGCATGCGTGCTACCTGCTCCAACAAGACCGCAAGAGAACCGTGCGAGAACTCTTCCAGAAAATTTAGGTTCTGTAAGAAGTCAGCTCTCTTCATCCAGTAAGGTCATACCAGGGGTCCCCACTTGCTTTGAGGTGAAACCGGAAGAAAATTCAGATGTTCATGAAATGAGAATAAAACGTTCTGTCATGAGAATAAAAAAAAGATCTCGAAGTGTTTTCTACAGACTGACCATACTGATATTGGTGTTTGCCGTGAGTTGGATGCCGCTACACCTGTTCCATGTGGTGACAGACTTTAATGATAACCTTATTTCAAATAGGCATTTCAAGTTGGTGTATTGCATTTGCCATTTGTTAGGCATGACATCCTGTTGTCTTAATCCAATTCTATATGGATTTCTTAATAATGGGATTAAAGCTGATTTAATATCCCTTATACACTGTCTTCATATGTCATAATTCTCATTGTTTATAAAGGAATGGGCAAGTGGGATAGTCTAAAATATACTTATGATAACTAAGTATGTATAATCAGAAATTTTGTTAACATGGAATTTAAGTTCTGGATTTGAATGTCACTTCATAATATAGAGAAGATAATTTTAATGTGTTATAATATGATTAACTTATTTAGTTGTACAGAGTCAATGTCAATCCAATCTGTAATTTCTTTTTAAAAAGTAGTTGTATTACCTTCTATTTCATGTTGTCTTTCTTATAAACAAATGAATTGTATTTTTTTGTTCTAAATAAAAGTTGTATTTGGCCAACTCAGTATTTTTGTCAAAAATATAATAAGAAACAATATTTTTTGAGGAATCTTTACTTCCAAATTTAAGAGGAATTTCTGTTATCTATCTTTGCTTCTACTCCATGGGCTTCTTAATGTTTAGTTTGTGAAATACATAAAACATTTGTAAGCTAAGAAAATCATAACTAAATGGCAGCTGTATGCCCAAATTAGGATTACAACTTTAAACATTGAGTACAGTTTTGGAAATCCTACAAGAAAATGGTCCTCACCTATTGAGAATTAGTCAAAATGTCAGTTAAACTCCACTGTCCTGGTAATACACAATTTACCAATCAAAAATCAATTTTAAATCTTTTCTAGACTTACACAACAGCACTAAACACTACCAAATAAAGGTTTTTTTAATATACACCTTTTGTATTCTAAAATGTTAAGTCTAAGAGGTGTCTGTATTTCCAATTATTAATTTTAAAGAATATTTAATACAGCTAGAGTAATTTACCAAAAAAAAAAAAAGAATATTTAAAATGTACACAGATGATAAGGTTAGTTACTTTTTTGACCAAAATATAGAATTGATTAATAGACTCTATGTTATTTCAGTACTGAAATCTCATTTGTTAGTTTATTAAATTGAGGTCAATCTTTTTAACTATTAGAACTTTTTATTTGTTTCTTAGGTTTTTTAAAGAACCAGGTTCCTGAAAATAAATGAATGTTTGCAGATATGGTTCAGATGTGCAAAATGACACTGATGTTTTCAATTCCTACAACTGATTTAAACATTCCTCTGTATCGATTTCTGTTCATAACTAAGGAAAGCAACAACACAAAACTAAGACCCTTTAAGTTGTAAATAGTAAGCAATTCTAATAAGTATTTACTCAGTTAAAAGTCCAACATGTGTGGGTTTTCTTTTTGCCTTCCTCCTTCCTTGAATGGTGTCTACACACAGGAAGTGATGTGATCTTATGCCCTGGGGAAAACAGTGCTCATCCACAAGTGTCCTTTGCTGACTTTGCTGTCAACCCCACTAGAGGCATAATAATCCTGCCTGGTCTTCGTATTACATCAGGCTCTGCTGTATAAATGCATGGTCTGCTCTTAGCAAGGTTAAGGCTGGAAGTCCAGTCCCAGGATTCCCAGAACTGCTGACATGGTAGGACTTACATTCTCATTGACTTCAACCCTCATTAACTGGTTTCAGCCATGTCCTCCATTTGTGTCCAAGTACAGGCTATCTACTCTGTGGTCTAGCTGTGGAGTCAGTGACGTGGCCCCTTGCCACATGTGAGAACTGTTTGCAAGCTTAGCATTCATTACGGAACTCTGCAGGACTTATGAAACTCTACCCCTCTCATGAGTCACCAAAAACTGAGATGGCAGCGTGGGCTTGCTCAGGCTCCTCCCCACCGAAACATGAGGAGCTGATATATCTATCTGCCATGTCCACCTCATGGTATGGTTGCACACTGCTCCTCTGTCCCTCTTTAGACTTTCAAATACAAATCTTGTCACAATTCCCTGATTTTAGCTTACCTCTAGTCTGTCTGGTGCTATAAGTGTCCTTCCCAAATTTTTATCTTATAGCAAAAGGCAAAAGTGAGAGAACTTGGTTCACTTTTGCTTTTTCTCTTTTTCCTCCTTTCTTTTTTATTCTAAGAACTTCTCTTCTTTCTGCCTAGTAAGAATATCTCCTACTAATGTCCCTTTTCTCTGCACTATGGCTTACAGTAAAACTGTGTTCAGAACATCAAGGTTTGCCTTTAGAAAGGGAAGCTTTGATGATTAAAACCTGTTTCCTATCTCTGTCTCACCAAGGACAAAAAAAAAAAAGGGAGGAGAAATAGCTGAAGACTGACCTCATTTGAAGCAGTAGGCATTAGTCCTTTCACTGGGGCAATTTCAAGGTGTGATGTAGTGACTGAAGTGGTGGAAAACTCACTGGTGAGGGCAGATATAAATATAGAGGGAGGGATTTTACCCTGTGAGAGTAACTTACATTAGCAAATGTACAAAAACTGTCAGGCTTCACAGATTTTATGGTTGATAGATGAGTTTAGTTCAACTGGGTAAACTAATCTGGGGCTCTTAAATATTGAACTTGAAGGAAGAAATTTATCTTCCCTAACCAGAAATGAGTAAGTGTTTTTAATAATTGAAAGTTGAAAAATTTGGATAGGTTGGTGGGTAGAAGTTATTACGAGTGGGATTAATGGTTTTAGAAGATGACTATGAAAAATAATTTCTTCCATGGCGATTTGCTTAGTAAGTTAAACAATTATGTTCATTTAACTCTCCATTACTCAAGGGCTGATTATCTACCTTTTTTTTTCCTATTTTTTCCTTGTGTCCTTACTGATTACTTGTTCAATAGCACCTTTACAAAAGCGTGACTAAGAGAAATGAGATGAAATTATGAACAGTCAACCTTACTTCAAAATTATTTAAAAATATTTAATTCACAAGAGATGTAAAATTGGATTTTAGCAGTTGCTTAAACTACTCCTAGAGCTATGTGATCCATTACTATGAGTAATAAAACACTAAATGAAGGAAAACCACTGGGAAAAGCACAGAGAGCATCTAAAATAATTAAATAATGAAGAAATGAGAGACGTATGTAAGGATTATTTCAGTCAACAGATATCTATTAAATACCTATTGTGTACCAGAAACTCTTTTTGGAACTTGCGATAGATATATCTCAGAACAAAACAGTCCAAAAAGATCTGGTATTTGCCTTCTGGAAAGTGGGAGTCAGTGGCAGGAGATGGACGAGCAATAACCTGTAAGTATAATGAAAAACAAATTATATAGTGATGATACAGTATAGAGATACATGTAGTGTTTTGTAAGGCTACCTAAAAAGTACCACAAGCTGGGTGGCTTAACACAACAGAAGTTTGTCTCACAGTTCTAGAGGCCAGATATCTGAAATCGGCATGTCCACAGGTCCATGTCCACCTGAAAGCTATAGGGGAAATCCTTCCTTGCCTCTTCCTAGCTTCTGTGGTTAGCTGGAAATCCTTGGTGTTCCTTGCAACTACATAATTCCAGTCTCTGCCTTTATTGTCATATGATGGTCTCCCTGTGTCTCTGTGTTCCAATATCCCTTCTTTTATAAGGACACCAGTCCTATTGGTTATCCTTTCTCATACACACTCCAGGAGAACCTCATCTTAATTTAACTAATTATATTTCCAATGACCCTGTTTTCAGATAAGATCACATTCTAGATAACTGGGGGTTACAATTTCAATATATTTATTGGGAGAAAGGACACAATTCAATCCATAACAATACAGTAACGATGATTAGTAATGACTACAGCCTTAAAACAATATAGAGTAGAGTCAGAAGCAGGTGGAAGGAGAGGGAGAAGAGATGGTTGTGATTTCAAGTGGGATGACTCCAGAGCCTTCATTGAGAAGATCACTTTTGTACAAAGATTTGAAAGGGATGAGGAGGTTAGCTTTGTGACTATCAGGGAAAAAAGCATTCCAGGCAGAAGGTACAGTCAATACAAAAGCTTTGAAGGGGAGCACACTTTGAGTGTCAAAGGAACATGAAGAAAATCACTGTAGCTGAAGTGCAGTCACAGAGGGAAATAGAATAATTCAAGGACAATTCTTACAGGTCCTTGTAGGCACATGTAAGAATGTTGAATTTCACTCATGGTATAATGGGAATCTATTATGGGTATTGACCAAAGATAGGGCATAATCTACTTAAAAGTTACTACTGTAGTTGAGAAAAAACTGTGTTCCTCTGTCTCATTGTATGATGTTAGTAACCATGGATGTTAATGCCAATATATATATTAGTTTACTGAGGGTTGCAAAATGGTGATGTTTCAATTCTATTATTTACTTCACATTTACATTAATGAAAATATACTCTTTTACCTATTATTTGGTTACCTAATGGTAGTGTTCTTTTAGAGAAGACAGAATTGGCCGGGCTCGGTGACTCAGCCTGTAATCCCGCACTTTGAGGGGCCGAGGTGAGTGGATTGCCTGAGCCCGCGGGTTCGAGACCCACCTGGCCAACTTGGCGAGACCTCATCTCTACAATAAATCAAAAAATTGGCCGGGCATGGTAGCGCGCGCCTGTAGTTCCAGCTACTTGGAAGGCTGAGGCGGAAGGTCGAGGCTGCGGTGGCCGGGAGTGGCCACTGCACTCCAGTCTGGGCGACAGAGTGAGACTCCAACACAAAAATAAATAAATAAATAAATAAATAAATA